GGTCATCTTTTGTGATACCTGATATATGCAATAATTGATTATATTGCCGTTCATATCAGCACACAGGCAAAAAAACTGGTTTAATTTATCATTTGTCGAATATCGATTATCTACCTACAAAGTATAATTGATATTTAATTGATTTGGTTTAAATCGTAAATTGGACGAAAATAATTAATTATGCCTGTGTGTATAAACTGTAAGCAATCTACCATAAACACTCAAATTATAAAATGTTCGGGATGTATGAATTCTTTGCATACTTCATGCATTGGCTTACATGGCGATGATGTCAGTCGGATTACACGAATGCGTAGTAAAAATATCAAAGTACTATGTAATACTTGTAGCAACGGAGAGGACAAGTTTGTTCAATTAAAGCAATTTTTAACGAATCTTGTGGAAACTAAAATGCAGGATCTAGAAAGGAAAATAGCTAATATTAATCCTACAATACAATCCGAACATCAGGAAGAGATAATTGAAGAAGCCATGGACCGTATTAATCGATCGCACAATATCATTTTGTATAACGTACCAGAAACTAATTCTGCTATGGAAGATAATAATAAAGTAAATGATATTCTAACTACGATACAAAGTGGTAATTCAAATCCGATTTCTGCAAGACATGTACACAGAATTGGTAAACGATCAAATAAGGCCCGTCTAATGAAAGTGACCTTTTCAACACCCGCGCAGGCTAAGTCTATTTTGCGTATTAAGAATAAATTAGCCACATCTACTTTCTCTGCTATTTCAATTTCTGATGATAAAACACCTCGACAGAGACAATACTTAAATGACCTCCGGACCGAACTGAAACGTCGAACAGACAATGGAGAACAAAATCTGATCATTAAGTACGTAAAGGGTAGACCTACCATAGTCAGTAAAACTGAGAGCTCTTTAAACTAAATGTGTCCAGCAGTTCCAGATCAAGTAAATCACAATACGTTGAAATTACATGTTATTACCAAAATGTACGCGGCCTTAATAGCAAAATTTCATTATTTAATGCAAACGTTAGTGATTGTGAATTCGACATCATAGCATTAAGTGAAACGTGGTTACGCAGTGATGTTTCGAGTATGGAACTCTTTCCGAATAATTCTGTCGTATACAGAAAAGACCGAAAATTCCATGAGGTGGATAAAGTGAAGGGTGGTGGTGTAGTGCTCGCGTTAAAAGATTTCATAACATCTGAAATATTGGACATCACGGCTCTCGACGCACAATTTCCACTAATTGATCTTATTATTGTCAAGTGCCGGATTGGCTACAAATATTTTTATATAGTTGTTGTTTATTTACCTGATAGATTAAGTTTGGTAGACTTTGAATATTTTTTCGATTGCTTAGCACAATTTGATTACTTAAATAATGACTGTATAGTACTAGGCGATTTTAATGTTTCAAGGTTTATAGATAATGATATGTCTGATTTCAAAACTTCTGTAGTTTTAAGTTTTGCGGGCTCTACTGGCCTTAGACAATTTAACAATGTTGTTAATCATTTGGGTAGACTGCTAGATTTGGTCTTATCGCATTTCAGTTGTGATGTGAAGCATGATGACTCACCTTTGGTCTATGAAGACTCTCATCATCCTGCTCTTCTAATAACATTTACGGATATATTTGTAAAAGAGCCTAAATTTAAGTGTGGTTTGAAGCAATTAACTTACAACTTTAAAAAAGCAAATTTTCCTGCTTTATATCGAGAACTGTATGAAACGGATTGGAATTCTCTGGATACTTCTAATGACGTTAATGAGATTTTAAATAACTTTTATGATACGATTTTTTCTGTGTTTAATAAGTATATTCCAGTTTATAAAAACTTTAGCCATAAATACCCCCCTTGGTTCGATGCTGATATCATTCACAACATCAAATTAAAAGCAAAGTTTAGAAAAAAGTTTAAACGATTCAAAAACCATTGTGATTTGCTTGAGTTTCAACGGTTAAGACACCTTGTCAAATCAAAAATCAGTTTGGCATACAATGTATATGTCGAGAATATCCAAATTGCTTTATCCTTCAACCCCAAGAAATTTTGGTCTTATGTAAATTCAAAAAATAATAGTTCAAGAATTCCTGGTGTGATGAAATATAATGACATTAGTACCTCCGACCCACAAAATATTGTGAATGTGTTTGCAGAATTTTTCAAGAGTGTTTTTCTGTCATCAGATATTAATTTCAAGGCTAACTCTTCCTCAGTTAACGCAGATTACTTAAATTTTTATCCTATTTTAGAGTCTGAGATAATTTTTGCGAGTAAGAAATTGAAAGACAAAATGACGTGTGGACCTGATAATATTCCATCCTTTTTGGTTAAGGATTGTATAGGTGCCTTAACTGTGCCACTTTTAAAAATTTTTAATTTATGTCTTCTTAACAAGGAATATCCGAGTCTCTGGAAGGAGTCAAAAGTGTGCCCAATATTCAAAACTGGTGAAAAGGGTCAGGTAGAAAACTACAGACCAATTTCCATTATTTGTAATCTATCGAAAGTCTTTGAAATAGTTTTGTATAATCGTATTTATTCACACACTCATAATCAGCTATCTCAATATCAACATGGTTTTGTCTCCAATCGGTCCACTGTGACAAACTTATTAATGGTCACACAATATATCTCAGCAGCCCTAGATAATAGAAGTCAAGTTGACGTCATATATACTGACTTTACGAAGGCATTCGACAGAATTCACCACGGCGTATTACTTTCTAAATTGTGTCTCTTTGGTCTTTCTGAGGATGCCTTGACTTTTATGAGGTCCTACTTGTCAAATAGAACGCAGTTTGTTGCTTATAATGGTTACAAATCGGAAAAGTACCTAGCTTCTTCAGGGGTTCCACAAGGTTCTAATCTAGGTCCATTATTGTTCTTGTTATTTATTAATGATCTGTGTGAATCAATTTCTGCACCATGTTTATGTTATGCCGATGATTTAAAGATTTATTCATTGATAAGCGACCTTAATGATTGTCATTTTCTACAGAGTGAACTGAATCGTGTACATGAATGGTGTAATGCAAATCATTTGAATCTTAATGCCAATAAGTGCAAAGTAGTTAGTTATTCTAGGAAACAGTCTAATATATACCATCCTTATATTATCGATGGCAATGAACTTGAACGATTGAATAAAATTAAAGACCTTGGAGTTACATTTGATTATAAACTCACCTTTGTTGAACATGTTAATTTAAAGGTTAAAGAAGCACTTAAATCTTATGGATTCATAATTAGAAATAGTCGAAATCTCACTAATACTAAGGCAATTAAATTACTTTATTACACTTTTGTACGCTGTAAACTGGAATATGCTTCTGTCATTTGGTCACCTTTTTATGATGTACACATCCAAATTATAGAGCATGTGCAGCGTAAATTTTTAAAATTTTTGTCTTTCAAAATTAACGGCATATATCCCAGGAGGGGCATCAGCAATAGCGAGTTGTGTAGCGGTTTGGACGTAGTATCATTAGAATCTAGACGAATTAATGCCTCCCTAATATTCCTGTACAAGCTACTACATAATCTCATTGACTGCCCTGATATTCTTCGACAAATAAATTTTAACGTTCCATCTTATCCAGTGAGAAATTCGATTACGTTCAGAAATACACAAGCTAGAACTAATCTTATGTTAAATTCTCCTCTATTTCTCATGTGCAACTATTATAACTCCTTAAGTGCTTACTGCGATATATTTCACTGCAGTTTAAAGCAGCTTACTAGGATGGCTGAGATCTACCTAGGTGATTAAGTAGTTTCTTTATGTTAAATACTCGAAAAATGTGTTATTTAGTTAGTACCTATGAATTATTAATATTTCATTTAACTTTAGTATTGTATTTTGTCCTATAAATGGATTCTGTTGGACAATAAACGCTATTATTATTATTATTATTATTATTATTATTATTCCACGTGTCGGCTCTTAGTACTACTATCTGCATGTCTAAGATGGTTCAAGTATTTTCAGTTTTTCTTATTTGAGCACGGAGCCTCAAGTTAGGCGTGGGTAGCTTCCATAACGATTTGCTGATATCGTTCTCAATCTTGCGGAGCATGTAATAATTCATCTGCTGATAAGCCAGTCCATTGACGAAGGTTTCGGAGCCATGAGTATTTCTTCCTACCCATTTATCTTTTTCCGTCGATCTTTTTGTTGAGTATCAACTGCATTATCCTGTATCTGTTTCCTCTCATATGCCCCAGATATTGAGTTTTCTCTTTTTTATCATCTTTATTAAGTCACCTTGACCTTGATCTACTCTGTTCAAGACTTCTCTGTTTGAAATGTGCGATATAACCACATCTCGAAGGTTTCTAATTTGTTCATCATGTTGACCTTCATAATCCAGGTTTTACATCCATACAGTAATACATAATACACATAACATTTTATGAACTTAATTTTTAGCTGTAAGTTCAGCTGAGACTTGCTTAGAATGGATCTAGGTTTCATAAATGCTCCTCTTGCAATTTCTATACGAGTTTTAATTTCTTCATCCGGATTTAGTGTCTCGTTTATCCAACATCCCAGATATTTAAAATGGCTAACTTTTATATAAAAACATGCAGAGTATAATTTGTTTAGGGTAATCGACTTAAACTGCAAATTCCATAAGTAAGCGATTTGATATGGGAAGGGACTCGTATAGGGGCAATAAGAAATGACTAACTACTGTAATAATAGCTTCTAAAAATACGCCGTCACTGGTACGCGTATGGTGATATTTCCAGATCATTTTAAGTAAGTTTAACTTATATTTTACTACTCTATAATATTTGGAACGACTATAAGTGAAAATCAACTATAGCAATCCTTACATTGAGCTTTATTACTTCCTTACAAGTATTTCTTTAAGTATTCTGAAAAGACGACTAGTCTAAATCCAAGTCCGTGTTTTGACTTTTACTAGGGTTTATTATCCGGAAAAGTGCTCTCCAAAAGGTAAATAATTTAAAATTTTTGCTATAGCGAATAGCACATCTGTAGGCGGTATTGAAATGGAGATAACGCCGTCTGAGGTCGTGGCTCCGATCGGTACTCAAGTGCGATTCACTTGTAAGTATCGTAAAGCATCTTCTCCGGATCTGTACATAAGCATTGAGAGTTTAAACATTCACGACATTCAAGAAACGAGATATCCGGGTGGAGCTGCCACCAGTTTTACCCATATTGTGAGTTTTAACCCTCAGACTATCAGATGTGTCGTAAGGAATAAGGCGAGAATGGAGATAGGCAATATTTACGTCTTTGTTACTCCAGGTTTGAAGAAAATCACAATTCGAAACAAACGCTTTTTGTTTTAGTTAGATATTTACAAACACAAATATTCGGTTAACATTATTAAATTTAGTAAAATTAGTCAGTATTCCGCATTATCCGAGTAAATATTTTAAATCTCTTAAAGATCCTTAAGTTATAAGTCGTATTTAGAAGTTCTTTTTTATAGGGAAGGTTATACATTTCAAGATGATCTTAGGACTTGCACATACTGCGACCTGGAATATCTGTTGTGTATGGCCTACAGCTATGTTTTAGTCAAATTTCTAACAACGTATGGCTCTGTCCTTCTTGCTCATTTTTTACTTTCCTTATTAAAGCTACTTTGCTTCTATTCTTCAGTTGCTTATGGCAGTTTCTGTAGTACCAAGCTCCTACCGATTTACGACTTCACAGCTTTGGTGCACCTTAATTTTGAAAATAGCAGTTTATTGGTCAATTTGAACAAGATTTATAAATTCTTGGTTACTTGTCTGCTAAACAACGAGACTCAAGAATATACCTAACTAAAGAAAGTTAAAAGTATTTTCAAGTTCTCAGGAACAGAAATTTGTACCCGTAAAAATCATTGGTTTGACGATGAATGCAAGAATGAAGGCACTTGCGTACTTAAGAAAATAAATAACCTCTTTAACATGTGCCATTTGGACAGTAATATACGCGACAAATGACACAATGCTGCGGTAATTCTATTGTACGAAAAAGGAGCTCCTTATAAATTAGAAAACTAAAGACCTATAAGTCTTCTTAGTCACCTATACAAACTCCTTACAAGAATAGTAAAGAATTGTCTTGAGAAAAAACTTGATTTCTACCAGCAATAGAGCAAGCGGGATTTCGTACCGGATTTGAAACAAATGATCACCTACAGAGCAATAAAACGGTAATAGAACAGTCCATCGAATACAATCGACCACTTGTTCTGGCTTTTGACACTAGATTTCCATAAAGCCTTTGATACGGTAGAATTTGATAAAATCCTGGAAGCACTATAAGAATGCCGCATTGACTACCGATATACGAGGTTAATTTACAATACATATAAGAACACAACTATGTCGGTGAAACTATATAAAAACACGTATCATATCCCAATCGGCAGAGGAGTCCCACAGGGTGATACCTTATTGCCTAAACTGTTTATCGCGGTACTAAAATATGCTTGCAAAAACTTAAATGGAAAGAGAAAGGTCTGTACATTGACGGTAGAAGATTAACAAATTTGAAATTCGCAGACGACGTAGTTTTGTTCTCGGACAACCTCAAGGAGATATGTACAATGCTACATCAACTTCACTTAGTGTGTACCAGCGTAGATTTAAAAATAGACATCTCCAAAACAAAATTTTTGCCGAATTACTACACTGAAATGGAACTGAGCCGGATACGTCGCCCGAATTAGTGATGAAAGGTGGACGAAGAGATTGCTGGACTGGAGGCTGAGGTTAGACACAAGAAGTAGAGGAAGACATCCAAGAAATTGGATGAAAAGTACTCAAAATAGAGAACATCATCAATCAGCCAATCGCGTCCACTGCTGGACATAGGCCTCCCTCAGTTCTTTCCAGTGTTCTCTACACTGGGCCGCTTGTAGCCAGTTTCCCGCTACACGTTTAATGTCATCGGTCCATCTAGTCGGTGGTCGTCCTCGGCTTCTTTTATAATTTCTGGGCTTCCATTCCATAATACGTCTTGTCCACCGTCCATCTTGTGTTCTGGCTAAGTGCCCTGCCCAGTTCCACTTAAGCGTCGTGGTTCTTTCGATGACGTCTTGAACTCCTGATCTTCGCCTGATTTGTTGGTTTGTTATGTGGTCTAGAAGGCTCACGTTCAGCATTGCACGTTCCATGGCTCGTTGTGTAACTCTAAGTTTATTCGCAGATTTTTGCGTGAGTGTTAAAGTCTCTGAAAGATAGAGAACAATGTACAAAAATGAGCGACGCAGTCCAGCAGTAAACGCAAAGGGCTGAGTGATGATGAAGACAGAATGCCTACAGCACATGGGATCTAAAATTATTCACAAATTTGAGGAAAGGGGACATGTACGAGAACTCCTAAAAGTGGTCGCTCTGGTATTCCAGAGGAAACGAAAACTGACATATTTTTGTCGATGGTTGAAGATCCTCATAAGACTACTACAACAATTGCAGCCACAAATCAATCAGTCAAACAACTGTTCATAAATATTTAAAAAATTGGCATGCCTATAAATAACACACAATTTGAACAGAAACTGAATGAAGATTTAACACAAGACACAATGTTAAATAGATTTAAACAGTAATCCTAATTTTTTTGAACCATATGCTGTTTTCTGATTAGGTATTCTCGATTTAGATGACACAGTCAATAAACAAAACTGCAGGTACTGCTCAGATAAAAAATTCAATGGGATGGTGAAGGTACATACATAGTATCGACAACAGATCAATGTATGAGCAGGATTGATTAATAATACTATTACTGGACCTTATTTTTGGGATAGAACAAAAACAGATGAAAAATACGAGGCATTTTTAGAATTGGAGGTAATTACAGAATTAGATTCTTTCCTGATTTGGTTTAAGCAAGATGGAGCATCTCCTCATCATCTTCGAGGCGTTCGTGAGTTTTTCGGCAATCCATTTCCAAATCGTTGGATTGGAAGAAGAGGAGCTATCGAATGGCCAGCAAGATGCCCGGATTTGGAACCTCATGATCATTTTTTTATGAAGTTATTTAAAAATCCAAGTATATGTAAATAGGCCACAGACTATCCAAGAACTGCAAGACAGAATTACAAAATTTTAATATGAATTTTCATTCAAAGTATTTATTTCTGTTTTCAAAGACTAGGTGGTCATATTAAACACCACCTTTGCCCGTTTATTTTTTGCATGGAGAACTGCAATAACAATTTGATTTTGCAACATACATTTATTATTTTCTATCTCCTTAAACTCCCAATATTCAGTAGCTTATAACTGGTCATTCTAACACAAAAAGTGTGCAGATAAGTTCTATTTAATTTTTTTAATTTTAATTTTGATTTCTTCAATTTGTTTGATCTGTGTGTTTTCTACTAAATATGTTATTTTCCTTTAGAGTTCGTTTGTCTAATCTTTGCTTGCATGTCTTCTAGCGTTTTCACCCTGCCTTATTGTTACACGAAAGTTTCATATTTTTTCCTCTCATCCACCTTTATTAATAAATTAAAGAGACGTTTTAGATCGTGAGAGAAATATTTGTGTTTGTAAGTAAACATATTGTACTCAAATATAGTCCAACGTTATAGACGACTTTATTCGACTACAAAATATGGTCTTCATGTGTTTTGTTGTGTATAGTTAATAGTTATACTTTATATATCGGTAGTGTTGGTATTTCAAGCTCTTTAGAAAAGGCTGTGATTATTGGTGATAATATTCTTAAAATATTGCAACTTAAAATATTAACTATTGTAAATATTTTCATCAATTTTTACACTTAGTGTTGTAGAAGCTATAGACTCTCTTTATATCTTCAAAGTAGGGGTAGTAAGTATTTTAACTGGTGTGTTAGAGGTTGATTCTTATTATAGGTTTTATTTCAATTCCATTTCTTATAATTAGTTTAACCTGACCACGATTTGTAAACTTTAGTATTGCTGAAACCTAAAAGGCATTAATAAATACAAAATAAAAAAAGCTTACAAATAAGTAAAGAGTTATGATCTATGATGGTATATTTTGTTATTAAAATATTTAAAATTTATCCAAAAGGATACAATATTTTCAAAACGTTTTCGGTCCAGTAGGACCATTATCAAAGAAATGTCTTGAGTATCTTGAGTAGTTGAAACCAGCTACCAATTTAGGTGTAAAAACATTTACATTACATAAAAATCGTAATATACTATAAAATTGTAATGACACAAGGTACTGTTGACACGTAATGTTATAGGATATCACTTGTAACATACATTTTCCTTGCTCCAAAAAAGAACAATTTCGTAACAACGGTAAGAACTAGTCAACCAGTTATTCTTCAATGCCCTGAAAAACCTAAGAACCGAAAATCTTAACAAATACCATATTAGATAAGAGACAATAAAGGACACCTCTTTCTCTATCGTTTCTCCTTCGTAAGGATATAGTGGCGTCATGTAATTTGTTTCACTATTTGTGTCCAATTATCTCTCTCCTGTGCATGTTGTTTTGCTTCGGAGAATGAGTTACCAGTCATGTCCTTTATTTGGTCCAACCATCGTACTGGAGATCTTCCTCTGGATCTTTTGCCTTCTCTTCTTCTAATTTGTTCAAAACATCTCAGTATATTTTGGTTGATAGTTGTGATAAGTCTAGTTTTTACGTTAAGTTCTGCTAGAATTGAGTTATTTGTGCGATGGGTGGTCCATGGTATGCGCAACATTCTACGGTAGACCCACATTTCAAATGCCATTATACGCTTTGAATCGGCTTTTTTTATTGTCAAAGATTCTGAAGCATAGGAGGTGATAGAAAATATCAATGCTCGAACAAGGCGTAATTTTGTGTTTTTTGTTTGTGATGCCAGCGTTCTTCCAAATTTTTGTGAGACTGGCTGTTGCCGATCTGGCCATTGTGATGTGTCGATGGATCTCATCTTCGCATCCTCCACTGTTAGAAATAAAGGAGCCCTAAGTAATTAAATTGCCTGACCACTTCGTAACCTACCATGTTTCTTATCTCTGCTTGGTTGTTTTTGATTTTTTCGATGATCATCACTTTGGTTTTCTGCATATTAATTTTTAAACCATATTCCGTACTCACCGTGCCTAGCCTATTGATAATTGGTTCCAGTTCTTCTGGTGATGACGCAAATTTAACAGCGTCATCAGCATAACGTAGGTTTTTGATTTTTCTTCATATCATCGTTGCTCCACCTTGCCATTCCTCAAAAATTTGACGCATAATATGTTCACTATATATATTGAATATAATAGGGGATATTATGCATCCCTGTCCAACTCCATATTTTAATTTGAAGTTTTTCGAAACCACATTATTAACTCTTACATTAGCAGTATTATTTACGTATAGTTTTTGTAATAAATAGATTAAATGTTTTGGCGTAACCATTTCTCGGGAAGATATGAGTATATACAGACATACAAGGAACAGGGTTAGGGACCCATAATATGGAATCCGAAGGGATTATAGTAAATGAGGGTTTACGTCAAGGGGGAAGTTTTTGTAGACTACTTATCTAGATCTAAGTTGTCAATAAAATAAACAAAAAAGTAAAAAACTATGGTTTATACTCTTAAATAAATTAGTGCTGTAAATGCACTATAGATAATATTACTTGCAAAATCTTGATGTGAAAATCTGATAAAGGGGACGACTAATACGCTTGAAGCAATCAAATGAAGAGTGTAATAGGAGACATGACTGGGATAAGTGTATAAATAATATGGAGTATCAACAATAACTTTAGTTTAATAACTTACGGAAACCGTAAATAAATCATAAAATAAGAATCAACCTATATTCTGTATTAATTTTCTTGTCCTGTGATTCTTAACACACATATTATCGTCAGCACCATTTTTGTCAAATATAAACGGAAACACTGGTTCTTAAGAAAACATGTTTGCAGAATTATATATAAAAATTTTACGAATGATTAATGAGAACTGATGTTTTCTGTAATTACTAACACCACACTTAACTAAAACGAGTGAAAATATATGTTTATATTTAGGAAGGGTTGGTTTTTAACTGAGTTTGGTTTTACCAATACATTTTACATAGATTTTACCAATACATTTTTTTAATCCAACTTTGAAACTTCTTTCCATTACTTTGTTCTTCTTCTTAAGGTGCTATCCGTTCCGAACGTTGGCGATCATTCTGGCTATGATGATTTTGTTGGTTGCTTTACGGAATAGCTGTGTTAAGGTCTTTCTATACCATACTATCAGGTTAGCAAGCCAGATTATTCTTCTTCGTCCTGAGGTCATTTTTCCTTCAATTTTACCTTAGAAAATGCATTGGAGTAGCTTAGGTATTACTTCGTTAAGACATAGTTTAAAAAAATGGTTACCAATACTATGAGTATAATCGCTTCTTTGTTATTTGAGCTGGATTCAAAACTTTTGGGAATTCTAAGGCTGTTTTTGCACTATTTCATAATAGTGATTGAAATCTGAATCTAACAGTATAATACTGAAAGAATCATTGCGCATGTCTAGTGAAACCTTTTAATTTTGTGATCAATAATTTCTCGAAACTATCATCGTTATTTGCAGTTTTTGTTATGGGGTATTTATTTACAAACTCCATTCGTCTTCAAAGTGTTTCATCTTTTCTGTTAATATTTTCATATTGCAACTCTTACACAATATGTAGTTTGCAAATCCTTTTCGAACATTTTTCATCTTTTTCAATAATGTTTTTAATATTTTTAATTTGTTGTTAAGAAACTTAATAAACAGTGTAGCAAAAGGTGTCCACATCACGTAAGTCGTATTTTGATTTAATCTGTTTGTGTTTATTTTCTTCTTTTTATGTGATTGTCTCCGTAAGTTCTTGAATTTTTATATGATCAGTTCCATATTAAGAAAATTCTTTTAAGATCTCTTCTATACAATATTCGAAAAGGATTTTTAAGAGTTAAATAATGATAGTACTTAATACAGCTGTATATTAGTAACTCCAACACTCAGTTAAAACCCCATAAAAGATAAACTGATGTCATTTTCCTAACGGTATCAACCATTTTCCAGTTGGCTTCACCACGACAACTGAAAACCCAGATACCACCACAAATCCTAACCCAGAAGTGACTATCGATGTGACGATTGAAGATACCAACATCGGTATTTATGAAGTTGGCAGCAGTGTTAGGTACAACTGTTCCGCAAAGTCACGATTTGTTATAAGGGTAAGTACATCATTCAAAATATTTTCACGGTTTTTCTTGAATCTTATTTTAAACTAAAAGCTGTCCATGTTATCAAGAGTAGCACTGGTAGTAGTAGTATCAATAAAAAACCCGATTTTATGTCTTAGGAAAAGCTCAACGATCTTGTTACTGAATTGGGACTACCCAAAAGATAGTGTGTCAATTAAAATATTTTTTTTTCTACAGCCTGTTAGAATTAATTGGAGAAAAGCCGATGGCGATCTACCATCTCGTGCCATTGACGATGGAAATGGTCTCCTGGTAATCACAGATTTGCGAGTATCTGATTCTGGTCGATACATTTGTGAAGCCAGCGATGATTACACGATAGTGACATCCAGTGTTGACTTAAATGTAGGAGGTAAGCGACAACGATTAAATTCTTTTGTAAAAACATTGACAAAATAAAATCCAAGTTAATTGTTATCTTAAGATATATTCGTTTATGATGTATTTTCACCCATATTAAATGAACAGGAAAAACTATTAAGAAAATGCTTTTAATTCTTAGCAATACATCTATATATTAAGTTAGTGTATAAAATCTGACCAATTTCAGCCAAGAGTAGACCATATTAGAAAACAAGTTCAAAAATTCTCAATTTATTGAGAATCATTATTTTGCAAAAATACTACCTTTAGGTACTCCACCCATCTTCCGTTTTGACTTTAGAATCACACATAAATATTCCAAGCATTTCTTTGGAACCATTTTCATTCCTACTCATTCGAATGTTATTCCGTTTCTTTTCCGTGGCCCCTTGAGCATTATGACCCGTAGCTAGTTGTAGTCCATGCATTTTCATCTATATCTCGACTTAGTTGCATCTAAGCTTTGCACCGAAGATAAGGTCCTCCTTGTCCTGCGCCACTCACAGTATAGTGAGTTCATCCGCAAAATCTAAAGGAATTACCCCCTTTTCGTTATGTTGGGTCATCACCCCTACGCCACTCCAGTCGTCACTTCAACTATCACTTATTGTTATACCACAATTTTTCAGATAACAGATAGCCCGAGACCACATGCATCAACTTACCCGGAAGCATTTTCTCTCGTTAAGCCTTCTTAATTCCTTCTTTCATTTTAAGGAATTAAGCAAGTATTGAACAGCTAGGTAATAGTTCACCTGACTCTATGATGACTGTGTCGATTCGCCCTCTTAGAATTCTCCCGTACAATTTAACTATGCATATACAGTGATGAGTGGGTTAAAACCCGGCAAAGTAACGCAAAAGATGAAAAACATAATACGTTGTGAAATACAAAAAGATAAAACTAGTAGAGGTGGAAAATTATCTATATGAATCTGATAATCCAATCTCATGATAGACAACAATTTGCATGTTTTCGTTTACGGTTAAAACCATTTTCAAGAATTGTTTTTTAACAAAATGTTTCTGTTTACCGTGTATTCTGGATTATGCAAAAATCCTCATACCTCATATATTTGATTTTCTAAATAACCAGCAACATTTGAGAAGAATCATGAAATATTTTAAAGCTGGTAAGATGACAACATAACCAAACCCTATGGGGGCGATTGTTAGGCTTTATTGCCGTTTTTCTAACTTCTTTCCAGTAATTCGATCCAGTGCCATACTATTCGAATGACTGAGTTAACCTCTCTCTTGTTTTTGTTGTTTATGTCCATTTTTGTTCCAAGAAAAGATGGATACAGAATGTATGTGAATATGATGTGGAATGGTAATGAGACCTGTGTGTAGTAAGATAAGTTTAACCATCCTTAGCTCTATCTAAGTCATGCTCACTTTACTTTACAGTCAAAATTACTGACCACGATCAAGTATAAAGAGCATCTTTGGGACGTTCTCATAGCTTTAGGAGAGGATTGCCACTTTTAACTTCTAACATATTGGTATAGTTTGGTCTGAAATTCTCAATTTTTCATCCTGTGAGAATTGATACCTGTAAAAGATCTGTTCCGAAACATATAGAAGAGGATTAGTTTAAGATACAGCTATAATATGATAAACTATAAAAAATTTTCATCATTTTTATGTCAATATAAATTTTTACCTCAATGCAATCATTTAAAAAGAAATTATAACTTTGTAAATGTAAAACTAAACATTCGATTTTTTGCATGCTGCAATAGTTTCACTTAGGAAAGCCTATAGATACGGAGGTAACATTATTTTGAACATGATTCTTCTACTTTTACATATATAAACTTTTTTTTTTGTTTAGTTCCACAAGACAGGCCTCCTAGAATAGCCCTATCCCAACCATACGTAGACGTTAACGCAGGTCAGCCGGTAGAAATTCAGTGTGTTGGAAATGGTGTACCTGCCCCACAAATCAGTATCGTTAGAGCTGATGGCCAACCTCTAAGTTCAGGACAGGTAAAAAGCCTTTCTTACATTATATTTACCATATTTTTTAAGATATATGTAAACATGTACTGTGGTACTCAGAAAGTACCAGATGTACTGCTCTTTTTGTGTGTGTCGATATCGCCGATATATAATTGACGCTAAATTTGAATTTTGTTTGTTTTCTTGACTTACGTCCAAAATGATCACTATTATCTAAGCAGAGTAATTTGATATGTTATTAAAACTTTATAATTTTACAGCGATTTGAAAACGGCCTCTTCCGCATATACCAATCGCGAGTCTCCGATTCCGGCGATTACAACTGCATCGCTTCCAACAGAGTAGGCACAGACTCCGCAAGATTCTCAATTATGGTGCACGAAGTCACTGTTGGTCCTATCATTAAAGTCGACATATCTCCACCGTCTTATAGAGGTGTTACCGGTGACAACGTGATGCTTAGATGTACTTCAAGCGCTTTTGGCCAATCGATCAGATGGAGCAAACAAGACGGCGAACTTCCATACAATTCCTATGAGGACAGAGGCACTTTGATTATCAGAAAAGCTACCCCTGACGTTTCTGGTCTTTACATATGTACAATTACATCAGCATCTGGCACAACAGGTTCCAACAGAGCCACTGTAACCATTACAGGAAGCGATGAAGGGTAATAGAGTTAAATTTTGACATATAGGCTAAGACTTTACTGACATTTAATGCATTTTCTAGAAAATTCCCTACGGCTTCGGTTTCCACAGAAAAAATAACCTTAAACCAAGGAGGATCCACTGACATTCAATGTACGGCCACTGGCGTTCCACCTCCTTCAGTGAAATGGACGAAACTTGGCGGTGATTTGGGCAACAACGTACAACAGTTTGGCTCAACACTCAATATCAGAAACGCAGCCACTGAAGATCGTGGCGTTTATGTTTGCGTCTCTACAAACGCCCATGGAATCGCGCAGGCGTCAGTCGTTGTAGAAGTGACACGTGAGTTACATTTCACATTATGTATTATGATTTAACATTAGATTTTGGAGTGGACAGATTCGATGTAAATATCAGAATCGAATTGTTTTCTAATGCCCCTTTGTCCGATTCTCCTCTTCTTGCTTCTTTGGGTGCCGTCTTCTTAGCGAAGGTTGGCGATGACCTCTGCAAAGTCTTCCCTATTTTGGGCTTTCGTTATCAAACTTTGCAAGTCTAATCCTGTCCAATCTTTGATGTTGAGCAGCCAGGTCATTTGTCGTCTACCCGGGCCGTGTCTGCCTTCTACTTTCCCTTCTATCATAAGCTGAAGGAAGTTATATCTGTCGTGTCTAAATATGTGTCCAAGATAAGACGTTTTACGCTTCTTGACAATTTCTGTGAGTTCACCGTCTCTATTCATACGCCTTAAAACTTCTTCATTTCTAACGCGGTCGGTCAATGGATTTTCAGCATACGACGAAATACCCACATCTCAAAGCTCTCTAAACGTCGTACCGAGCTGACTGTTAACGTCCAAGCTTCCACGCCGTGTAATAGTACACGTTATACATAACACTTTATCATGCGGTATCGTAGGGACAAATAAAAATTACGGGTAGTGAGTAACTGTCGCATCTTTAAGAAGGTGTTTCTTGCCTGTTCTATTCTACATTTAATCTCTTTTTCTTGGTCTAAGGTTTCATGTATCCAACAGCCTAGATACTTTAACTTTTACACTTGTTCAACTAGATTGTTGTTGACTAGTATGTTTATAACTGATGTGTGTTTTTTTGAAATTACCATCGTTTTGGTTTTTTTTACATTCACCTTAAGGCCGTATAGTTTTCCTTCTCGCACTACTTTGGCTAACAGAATTTGTAGTTTTTCTTCACTGCCAGCAATCAGTACTGTATCATCGTACGGCATACCTGATACTGTTCACGATTTTTCCATTGCCTTTTATTCCTTCTTGTGTTTCATCTAGAGCATGTGCAAAGATGTCCTCTGAGTACAAGTTATTATGGTGATAGTATACAACCTTGTCTAACTCCTCTTTGGATGTTTATGGTTTCAGTATCACCCATTTCAGTTCTGACAGAAGCGTTTTAGTTCAAGTAGAGTTCACGTATTGTATTAATGTCGTTTGCATCCAGGTTTTTTTACAAGCATTCTATTAGCTGATCGTGTTTGAATTTGTCAAAAGCCTTTTCATAATCTATAAAGCACAAGTAGACATATTTTTGTAGATCTCGGCACTTTTGCATAAGGACAATGAAACTGAACAAAGCTTCTCGAGTTTCCATACCATTTCGGAAGCCAAATTGTTCCGGACCCACATATTCTTCGCATTTTTTGTCAATTCTCCTCGATCGACTTAATTTGTGGTTCAACAATCTGAATACTTATATTATTATATACATTTTTAGACACATGTCTTCCCAGCCTTTCTTGGCTTTACAACCAGTCTCTTTTTCTGCATTCTAGCATTCAGTGTTCTTTTTGGTAGCCTATCCTCTCCTATTCTTATCACATGTCCGGCCCATTGCAATCTTTGTATTCTAATGAAGTCTGACAGTGGTGCTTTCTTATGAAACTGATAAAGCTCGTTGTTGTATCGACTTCGGAAGATTCCGTTTTCCCTCGCTGGTCCTAGCACTTTCCTGTCAAATTTGTCGAATTTGTTTTTGGATGTTTCTTTCAAGACCCATGCTTTACTTCCATAGTGCTATTGGTCGAATTAACATCGGTGGACATTTTAGACCAAAATGTACGGGAGAGGGCAAAATAAGGTAAGTTTGCCTGCGCTATTCTCTTCCGTATTTCTCCATCTTCTTATCTGTCGGCCTTCTGTTGGTTGTGGTTCCATCTGATGAAATCCATGTCATTTTGTGTTTGTCTTTATGTAAAAAGCATGTGGAACTTATAAAAATGTTTTTACTGCTGGCAAGATTTATCAAAAACTCCCCATTCTAGCTTGTTTCATTGTGCAGTGGGTGTTTTTCTGTTGTGCCATAGAACTGCGGCTCCTTGCCTATTTTAGCATTCATATCACCCATTATATTCTTGACACCCATTTTTGGACGCATTGCCATATTGTCAGCTGTTGGTAAAAACTTTTCGTTGTATGTTGTTCTTGTTCTTCTGTTGGGCATTAAATGTTTATCATTGTTACGTTTAAGAAGTGGGTGCAAGTTCTTAACTTGCATATCCTTCACTGACTGCCTGAAAGTCTATGATTTTTGACTTAAAATCATTATCCACCACAAATGCCAGCCAAATTTCCCCAGCCATCTTGTCTCCTGAAGAGCGGTAATCATGAGCTTATATCTTTTTAGTTCTTGAAGAAGTGTGGTTTGAGCTTTTGGTTTATTTAGTGTCCTTACATTCCAGTTTCCAAATATATAGTGCATGTTTCGTAGCTTGAATCATTTCCCAAATTTTCGTCCTGTATTCCGAGGCAACTGTTCAGGTTTTGGTACAGTATGTTTTTTCCGAGAGTCCATTGTCCAACCTTTGTCCTTTACCCGGGCTTAGGACTGGCAGTGGTGACTCCTGAGCTAGTCGATCCACCCATTGGTCACCATAGGCGGAGTTGTTCCAGCATTACTGATAGGCGGTGATAGATTTTGTAAAGTTTGGTCAATCTATAGAATGTCTCCATCTGTCTGTTTCTTGCTGAAAATGTGGTGTCTTAGAAGGCTCCATTTTCCTTAATCCCTTATACGATTATATATATATATATATATATATATATATATATATATATATATATATATATATGTATATATATATAATGATTTTTCTTGATGTCTATCATTGTGTAAATCTCTTGTGCGTATCTCTTTGGTATTTTAATGTTTTTTCCTGCAACTGATCTGAAACATTAAGAAAATCTTAGTGTTTTGTCGTAAAACATCACTCAATGTACTTGAATCTTCGTTTTTTCTATTCGAGTGTTCATTTCGGTCATTTTGGACTATTCTATTAGAATATTATATTCTACCAGTGGCACCGCACAAGCCTATTCGTTACGAAAATTTGTTCTTCTAAAACAATACTTGTATGATTTTCTTCCCGACGACTATACACCATTAGAGATATTTCTGATTTCATTATGATGGCACTATTTATTATACGACACTGCCATTTTGACTCTTACGTATACTATAATTTGTATCTAATGCTGAAATCATATCTTCACGATTTGTATCTATATCCAAATTTAAAAGGTAGAAAAATTGTCTCTTGCCAGTATGTGAACTTGGATGCGTTTGACGTTGATACTATCACATATTTATCATTTTCAATAATTTTGTCATCAATAAAGTTTTGGTCATGTTTCTCTAGGTTTGGAAACACCACGATTGGAAGTTTATCCTTCATCTAGCCAGATCGTCATTGCCGGAAACAGTGCCGTAGTCCAATGCAGAGCTGTAGCTGGAATTCCTTCCCCAACGATCACCTGGACCAGAGAAAACAACTTGCCATTGAGTTCAAACGTAGAAGAAATGTCTGGAGGCACTCTAAGGTATGTTTTAGTACATAATTTAAATGAATACTGCAAGAGTTAATTGATAACTTTTCGACAAAATACATTTTTTTACATAACTTTCTTTTGGCCATATATATTACTTCAAAGATATATGCTGCCATTTTAATATTTTAAAAAATTCGTGATACTACATTCGTAATTCCATAAAATGAGCTGGTTTGAATACATACCTATCAGGCACTGTTATAGCCATAGTTCTGACCAGTTTTGAAGATCGGTGAGAGTCATTTATCTTATGTTCATACCATAGCTCTTGGTTCGTTGTTGATGATCAGTTCTCGTTTATTTTTATTAGTAACTGTAGTAAACACTTTCTCGATGATTATAATTTTCGTTGCAGATTCACACAAATAACTCAACGCGAAGAGGGAGAATACATTTGCACTGCAATAAACGAAGCCGGTTCAGCTAGCGTGTCTGCGCACATAGTTGTTCACAGTCCTCCTGATGTTATCGTTACTCCAAGACAGGAAGTAATCACTAGGGGTATAGGTGATTCCTTGAGTTTAGAGTGTCAAGGTACGGGAATGCCTCAACCGACAGTGGGATGGACTAAACTTGGATCTGCGTACGCGTAAGTACTTGTATAAAGTGATTGCTAAATGTGTTAAAGTTTTCCACAAACTTAGATAAAAATTTAATGAGGTAAACGTTTAAAACAAAGCAAGCTTGTGGAAAAATTTTAACTTCTTTCTTCTATTTTCTTTTTCTATATTTCTTCTATTTTTAACTTCTAAACGTAGTAGAAGAAAAAATATATTTATTTAAATATTTATAAATTAAATGACTACTTTCACTTTTCAGCGATATAACAACTGCCTCTAATGTCAGATCAAGTCTACCGAACGTCTCTTTCCAAAAATTCACTCACCTAACCAAAGAAGATGCCGGAATCTACGTGTGTAAAGCTGAAAGCAGTGCCGGTATTGTAGAACGAAGAGTACAACTGATCGTAGACACTCTGCCAAGTAGGGGAGACATCACGGGTAAGTAGAATGAATTTACTCTGGTAGCTTAACTTAGGAGTGATTTTTAACTTGATGTAGATTCAAATTTTCTGAAAGAAAAAATTACTGAGTTACTTAATTTGCGAATTAGTTACTTATATTTGCGAGTTTTGCTGTGAAATATAATTATAAATATTTGGTTAAACTTTTACTTAAGTACATCGTGATTATTATTATTATTTTTTAAAGGACTGTTCGGCTATGACTATGGCTCTTTTGTTACAGTAATATTTGGTCCATCAAACTCGCTTGTTTTCATACGTTTAATAAAATGTTTATTTAATAAACTAATCAAAACTTGTCTCGAATCAAAAAAGCAAAGGTTTTGTCATCCACCGTCACATTTAGGGAGAAAAGTGCCTCCTAGTTCTTACTTCTTTTCCGAAGCTCTTTCTACTTAAATTCTAACAAATTTATTCTGTCTTTTTTTCTTATTCTAATCATACCATGTTAAGATTGACAGTTCATTTATTGCAAAGAGTCATGGGTTTAAAATGTACTTCAGAACTTTTTTGTAATCGTCGTTTTGTAGCATTAGTCAAAGAAATTTCCTTTTCAGGCATCGCTGTTCTTTATTTTTTTTTGCCACTCATTATTGTTCAACGTGTTTTCTTTAGCTAAATATTTTTCTCTTGCCACACAGTCCTTCCATTTCTCGGTTTTCCTCTACCTTTCTCTTCCTCAAATTCTAAGAGCTCTATAATTCCTTAATGGTATTAAAATGTTCCTACAGGTGCTAGTTTCCCCCAATAATTTGATGTCTTCAACCATTTCTGTTTATCTCAACCACATATACTTAGTTTTCGACCTGTTAACCTTAAGTCCTCCCTCTTCAATAGACTTTCTCCAACCAACCAACACATTTCCCACATTTTTTTCCAGCATTGACCAAATAGCCCCTTTTCTTACCTTATCTATCAGTACATCCATAACAAAATTAAACAGGTAGGAACTAGGGAGGTAGTAGGGACTAGGTAGGATAGTCTTCACAGCGTCCACTCTTAGTAATAACGGAGCCTAAGTAACTAAATTGCGTGACTACTTCGTAACCTGCCACGTTTCTTATCTATGCTTGGTTGTTTCTGATTCTATCGTTGATCATCACTTTGGATTTCTGCATATTTATTTTCAAACCATATTCCGTGGTCATCGTGTCTATCCTATTCATAATTTGTTCCAGTTCTTCTGGTAATGACGCCAATATGACAGTACCATCAGCATAACGTAAGTTTTTGATTTTTCTTCCTCCTATCGTTGCTCCTCTTTGCCATTCCTTAAAAACTTGATGCGTAATATGTTCACTATATATATTGAATAGAATAGGGGATATTATGCATCACTGTCGAACTCCATATTTTAATTTGACGTTTTTCAAAACCACAATATTAACTCTTACATTAGCAGTATTATTTTTATTTAGGTTTTGCAATAAATAGATTAGATGTTCTGGCGTACTCATTTCCTTTCTATGTTTAAACTCTCGAGATTTTTCGATAATTTGACGAATAGTAAGAATATGTTCTCTTGTTCCCTACATGAGACGAATCCGCATTGATTGTTCTTAGATAATTTGTGGTAAGAGAATCGATTTTAGTCTTTCATTGATGATGGTTAGAAGTACTTTGCTCGCGTGTGATATCAATGCTACTGTACGGTAATTACTGCAATCTATCGGTAAACCTTTTTTATATATGGGAATAAACCTGAGTTTACCCCAGTCATTTTTCCACTTTCCGGTATTCCAGATTTCATTAGAAATTCTAAGCATTAGATCTGTCCATAATTCTCCCATTTCTTTGAGTGTTTCAGCTGTTATTATATCTTCTTCTTCTGCTTTTCTGAATTTTAGCTTTTTAATTGCTGCCTCAATTTCTGATTTCAATATTTGTAAAGTAAAATATAACAATATATCAAAACCGATATACCACTAAAGTTCGTTATAAATCCAAGCAACTTCAGCTCGCCCCTCATAATGTACAATAGTATACGAGAGGTGTGCTATATTTAATAAGAAGAAATGCATTCTAGGAGAGAAAATTAGAAAAATTTCAACAGTGGCTGTTTTTGGAAGAAAACTCTATAATATGCTTTATGAAGTTACAGTCTTCTGTCTTAATTCCTTATAGTTTCCAGCTTATCATTTGGTACTTACCTTTCAAGAAAGTCTTGTTGTTGTCAATATTTTGCTGTTTAATCTTTCTACCGATAGTTTTTCTTTAAGATTTATGTAAATAAGAAAATTTCACTTGTATAATTTACGTACTTTCGCACCAATATCCAATCCCATACACATTTTACACACACAGACATTTTAGTGCGTGTTGGTTTCGAGAAAAACTATAGAAATACTTAAAAAAGTAAACTAATAAAGTAAAAAAATTTGAATCTACACTACAAATATCAACAAGATAACCACATGGGTTGGTGTTTTTTTGCTTTTTGGTGTAACGTCTCATAATCATGACAAATTTGTGCCAATTAAAAATAGTGAATTAATACTAAAGTTATTTAATAAGATTACAAGCTGATAAAAAAGGTTACTACATTATTGATATTAATTATTTTGAAAGATGGGAACGTAGGTTCTACAAGGCTTTAGCCACTGTTACTTTTTTGTCTGTATTCTCTAATTTTATCAACAAATAATTGTTGAATGGGATCTGAAGCTTTTTGAAGACATGGAGCTAGAATTCCAATATTTCGACTGCAGACCTCGCTCTTTACGGAATTCCTTACAGTTCCTAAAACTTTCGTGAACAGCATTTTTACTGCAATAAGATATTGAGTAGATTTTATTAATAAAACGATGATAAAATCTACAGTATATTTCTACAATTTATTGGAATGAAATGCAGACAGCAGAACCCAGAGTATTAATATATATTAATTATTTTGTCAATCTCTCTTTCTATTCGAGGAAGAAGAACATGTGAAACAAAATTTTTTGCGCCCTTTAGAAACATTCTAATCTAGACTACTTATTTAAAAGTATTTAAGTATTTAAAATTATTTCTCTTGGCCACTATAACCACGCTTTGTTAGAACAGACTTTTGATATTTTGGGGATAGCGTTTAAATGCCTATCTCAGACTATCTGTCCATATAGCAATTACCGGTCTTTGAAGTAGCTTTATTTCGATGCAAACCATACAGGACAAATTTCTAGAAAAGAGCAACGAAATCAAGATCTATTCGAAACCAACTCCAACCAAGACGACGAAAATTGTGCTTTAAATTCCTGTAGAGAGTTTTTGGAACCATTAAAAAGTTTTTATTTGATTCGCTGTTTTTTAACAGTAAAATTCCCGAAACCCCGTATCTAGAATATGCTATATAAACAAAAATTGATGTGTGATACTTATTATTAATATTCGGGACACAATATATTATATATGAGGAAATAACCTCTGTCTTGTTTCATGTACAATTCAGAAAACTTTTAATTAAAAATCCTTTGTAATAGGTATATATTTAAGGCCCAAACGGGCTAAGTTAAAAAGACAAAACGTTTTCGGAAACCATGTTCCATCATCAGTGTCTAGGAGTACATGAATGTAGCCACCAATATTAAATATGTGGGTGAAAACCCGTTAACCGATGTTTAATTACATTTAGTTTTAAAATTATGTTATAATAATTTAAGATTATAGAGTTACCGATGGATTAAGTAACATGGCGACATATGACTCCACGTTGAAGTTGCTAGTCCTGAGACGGTATGTCTTCGAGGACTGTATGAGTGCAACAGAAAACATTTCATGTATGTACACCGAGATTTTATCTTTTAAAACATTTATTGGTTCACTCAAAAATGACTCTAAATAAGAAAAAAAAAATATTAAATCAATTTAATGTTCAATAGTTTTTAATTGGCACTTCAACTAATACTATAACCTCTTACAATATAATACTTGAAGTCTATCTATTTTTACAAAAGTGTATGATTGTGCTGTATACACTTATTAATTGATGTATTTTTGCTACTGCTACAAAAGTATCTTCTGTTTTGTGTATACAAAATTTTCTCCTTATGATTATAGATAAAAATAGGTACAGTTGAGTTCATGGTTCTTTACCTGTGCATCATCATTTAAAACATACGAAATAAGTCGGAACTCCATGCAACAGCAAGTGACAGAAAGTGGCTTCTGCCCCTAGTATAAAATTAGTTGTGAAACATGTCTCTGTATTAAAAACAACTTCTAAATGCAAAATCAGGACAAAAAAAACAGCAAAAAATCCAACAAACTGACAGCCACAAGTAAACAAACTAGAAATGTCACAAATTGTAATTAAAATATGAAAACGTTCCCATTTTTTTTGAATGTACTGAGTCTACAATGTTCATAAAATTAACATGTGTCTTTACTTTTACCATCGAGCAACAAGACAGAAGAGGGAATGTAAAGGTAGTGGGGGCAAAAATATTGTTAGACAGGAATGTGCTATTTTGAGAAGCCACATTCAACAAGGAAAGAGAGTCACTTTCCTTGTTTAAGAAATCAAATTTAGTTGAGTTATTTTATTGTTTGTTCCAATTGCCACATGAAAGCTTGTTTATATTGAAGTTTTTTAACAATTGTGTCACATTTTAGACTTTTATCGTTATTATTTAATTAAAACTTTCTCGTATAAGACTTCCTCTTCTTTTTTTGAGATATTACAATCTGTTTAATTCTGAAGCTGCCTCTGGTTAATTTCCTCAACAATTAACTTACATTTCAGCGAATCTTTTGCTAATGTCATACATTTAGTTTTGTTGGTAAAAATGGTCATATTTGGTTGGCGGCTGAAGATCATCTTCGGACTTGGCAATAATTGCTACATCATCTGCGTAACACACCATACCAATTCTTTTGTTGCCCATTCTGTATCTGAGATTGAGAGATGTTACTTTTTGCCCATCAGTAGGTTAAACAATAAGGGGCTTAAACTGTCGCCTTGTCTAATTCCTCCCGGTGTTGGAATATTTTCAGTGA